TTCCACGTGAACGTACACCTTTTCCCCTGGCAAGATAGAGTTGCAGGCTTAGCAGCACTTTTGACATCAGAGATCAACATTGCGAAGAAATACGATATCGATTTTTTCGAAGACATCGCCAAGTTTGCTGGTAAGTCTGCAATTACGACAGGTTTAACCACAGGAAACAGCGCATATAGGAACATTGAAATGGACGAATAGAGCCTTGAAAAATTCCTACTAGAGAATCCCTTCTCCTTTTCCCGAATGATGATTGACTTCCGGCTTGTTTTAGCATTAGCCAGCGGCTTGCGCATTTTTTCTACACCCGTTCAGAATGGGCAGTCTCCGCCGCGTTATGCGGCGCCAAGCGGATCCTTTTTCCGGGAGCTAACAAAAGAGCCGACCTGAAAAAAAGGCATGCAATGGTTATGAGTCAGTGACGGAAATTTCAATATACGCGGAATCGTATTCGGAAAGACTAGCAGAAGGGCTACATGTGTTACTTACATTTGCACTACTCTGGAGAATTATTTCCTTGTCGTAGGACTCCAAAACTGTGGGAGGACAAAATAAACGGCGCTATCGCAAGACACGGGGCATTCTAGAGGCAATGCTCCTCAAACCGCGTGAAGCATCTCCTTTCCGTCAGAAATAGGAGTAAGCCTCAGATGAAGAAGAAGAGGTTCCAGATTGCGAGAGCAATTTCTATATTTCCCCAATGTTCCTGCTCCACCCAGGGTTTAGTCCTGGAGCCCTGAAGCCCCCGTATTTTGCGATAGCGCCAAATAAACTATTCCAAAGCTCGCTGAGGCTGGAAATCACTTTCTAAGTCCTTTGCATCCAACAGTTCCCAAAATCGGAATAAATGTTAAAAGCTCAGTGGGTCGATCGGTCGCTAAATCGTAGGATCGCACACTTATACCGCAGCTGCAGATCAAATCGTAAATTAGCCGCGACATTTGAACGAGCGCTTGTTCGAAATGCCCCACTCGATTTTTATCCGTGTTTCCGTTTCTACTGCATTTCCTGTCTTTTGCCAATTGATTCCTCATAACACTTTATTTGTGGGTTCATTAGTGATCGCAGTTAATGTTATCTCTAATATTCTCCGCCCTGGTGACGATTTTTATTTGTAGTGCAATGGAAAATGAGCCTTTGATATCGAGGTAACGCTTGTACTTATCTGGTAGCTATTTTTTGGTAAGAAACACCCTAAAGTGCTAACGCAGCATTCCAAAAGCCGATTAAACTTCTGCTGCATGCGTTCACTGATAGTCACGTACCTCACCCACTCAGTTGCATGGAAGCCGGGTGAAACCGGCTAGGGTTTGCCGACCGATCCTGATCCAATTTGCGCGCCCCACACTATCGAGCCGGACTATCTGGGTGCAGAAAAAAGGAAAACACTTTGAAAAGCGCTGAACTGCTTTTGCTACTTGTTTTGATTTTTCGGTGCTAACTTAGTTGGGGGGGGGGCACGCGGCGGCGCGGCAGTCTGCTCACCTGGGCTCTCTCGAGCGAGACAGTGTAAACTCGAACATTCCAGCTTTTCACGCATGTCAAGTGACTGCCCCCACCCCCACCCCCTAGACTGCCTACACTCCCCCTGGCCCACGGATTTCCGAACATGCCAGGCGAGCAGACTGCCGCGCCGCCGCGTGCCCCCCCCCAACTAAGTTAGCACCACCCGCCCATCCAAAATTCTAGCAAAGGTTTCATGATACGAAGTGCTTTCTTTTTTATGCGAGCGTTTTTGTCATTACAAGGACTCATCCCGCAAGAGGGGAGGAGTATGACATTGCGGTTTAGAACGGTCAGGGCGTTCAAAACAATGGAAGCATATGGTGACTAGAAGGCCTAGGAGGGGGGGGGGGGGGGCAGTCGCCGCCGCGGCTTAGCGAAGTAGTGTAAACTCGAACATTCAAGCTTCTCACGCATGTTAAATGACGCCCTCACACCCGACCCCGTGTTTTTTTTTCATTTATGTGTCATCCAGCATAAGAACATATTCATTATACGAGAAAAACACCTGAAGAAATATCGCAGGAATAAAGCCGTTAGCAGTTGGTAACTTAAAGGACTCCTTGAGTCAAATTTATATTAGAGCAGACTGTGTGCCGCAATGTCCCCCCTCACTGGATGAGATCCGTGGTCTATTCGAATGTGCGTAATAGCACGTTTTGCAAGTACTTTGCCTTTATCAGTTCAGTAGCGGCTTTTTGTTGAAATTGGCGGGCTCGCAGCAATAGCAGCTTTATTATCTTATGGTTAGCGCCAGTATTTTTAGCCTTCAACAAGTGTACAAGTGATTGAATTTATTATATTTTGCACTTGTATCAACCTCGTATAATAACAATAATTTAAAAACGAGAATTCGCTGACAAAATTCGATAATTCAATACAATATAAACTCGAAGTACTACGGTAGCACCGTCCTAGGACATAAGTACTTCATCGTGGGACCCGTGACCGACAGCGTTAGCTCAAGAAAACTATAATATGTGAAAAGCAACAGCGAGGTGAAAATGGCGGAAGTGACGAGGAGGTCACGTGGTCACTGAAATGACATGAGATCGTGGGCGATTTGGAGAGGCGCAAAGAAAGAGAAAAGGGCGTGGCGAGCGCAAGCGACGCTGCGCGAGCGACAACGAGCGACACAGCTTGTCGTAGCCTCTGGGCAAACGATAGAATTCATACTATCAGGGTGGCTAGGCAAGCTAAGAAAGCAAAGGGCAGCAGCAGCGGCCAGGCGATCGATTTATCGATCAGGCAATCGGTCTCGATTGAATATGTTGCACATCGTCGTTGTTTTGTACTCTACATTCAATCGATAGTGTTCTTCTGACCGGATCGATTTACGGCCGCGCGGGACGTCTTCAAAGGTCCTGCCAGCTGGCTGTGGTAGCAGGAGCCGCTAGCAACGACCGGACTGGACGACTAGAAGGCTCTGGGTTCGTCGGCTATAAGCGAAGATGCGTCGACAGGTCCAGATCGATGCATTCACATTTTTTGATCTGAAAATGACTTCTGTCCTAGAAGTGAATGAAATGGTCATCGATGTAATCGATTATTGATCAAGGTTGATGTTGATGGACAAACCTTGACGATGGATTTGGTGATTTGTGGCGGATCTTGTCCGGGACAGTCTAATGTGACATTGACGGCGTCATAGTCACGAGGCACGCATGCTGCACACGACTTGAAAACGGCTTTCAGTTTTTTGCTGTTTAGTCGTGGGATGAAGTATGATGCACAGGTGCCGTGGCAGTACCTGAAACTTGTGGCATCTGAAAGTGTGCAATTGCAGATATGACCATGGTCCGTAACTGCAGAATCAGACGCTCGCTGCAACACCACCATACTTCACACGTTTGAACTGTTTTTCGATTAAGATTTTTCGATTTTGTTAAGACCACTACAATATCTCGATTTTTTCTATGCATGGTAAACTGGCGGCACTAATTATCTCCCATAGGAAGTGCTGGCCATCCTACTTTTATTTTTTTGTTGTTCTTTTTTGCGAAGTCTCTTGAAATGTAACGATCGTAGGCTCAAAGCTACTTATGAACAGGGTACAACTGGGGCTTGTACGAACAAGGGGGCGGGTATTTTCGTGCAATGCTTCGAACGGATTATGGTAATCCCAGCTACCTCTGAAGTGACGAAGTGTTATGAGCTTCGTCTCTGTGCCATCTCTTTAATTTTTTGTATCAAAATTGGACGAAATCTAATAAGGGGAGCATGTGATGCAGCAGTTCTTATCAGCTAGAGTAATCCAAGCCCTCGTAGGGAAAGGAAGTTCCGGGGAAGTAAAGCGAAAGCAGAATGGTTCATGCACCCCGGCAATTTCCTCCCGTGCGAA